TCCTAGCAGTAATAAACAGACGTCTGTTTTCTGGAGAATTATTTTGCTGATAGATATGAAAGTAATGGTTTCGATTGGCAATTGCAGCAGCACAATGTGAGGAAAACCATGGAGAAGAGTGAGGCTTGACCTGGAACCGTTGAGAGGGAATAAAGGATTCCATGCCAGCCTGAATCCACGAAGTTATGTAAGAAGCACATTTGTCAACAGGAAGACGAAAGATTTCTACCCAGGGGCCATCACAAAGAAAATCACGGAAAGAGTCCCAGTCAGCTTTAAGGTAGTTGTAAGATGTACAATGATAGGGGGATTCTGATGGTAAAGAAGAATGAGATAACAGTTTTAGAGAAACCAAACCATGATCAGAAGCACCTAAGGGTGAGTGTGGAGAAACTGAGCACTGACTAGGATCAGAAACAAGACATAAGTCGAGTAGAGAAGGTAAATGATTCGGGTTGTCTGGAAAGCGAGTTGGAAAGTTGACTATTTGAGTTAGGGATTGAGAAAGGCAAAAGTTGTGGGCCTTAATGCCTGCAGAATCACTGACACTAGAGCCAAGCCATTCAGTGTGATGAACATTAAAGTCTCCAACAACAACAATATTGGCTGATGGATAAAGAATGAGGGCTTGGTCAATGTAATCAGAAATAACATCAAGAAGAGTGCAGTCTTGAGATGAAGGGGAGCGATATAGAACAAAGAGAAAGGCGATAGAGTGAAGTGGTGCTAAACGAAAGCACATAAAAGAGTAGTCTGTGGATTCAAACCTAGTTTCCCGACAAATGGGTGAATTCTTAGGAATGTAAATGCCCAGGCCAAGCATGTGATTATTGGAATCTTTACGAATTATAGGAAGATAACCATTAACACTAAGATCACAAGATGAGACAGCTGAACTCAAATTAGTGTCACAAAGAGCAAGTAGGTCTGATGAACTTTGCAAGAGATAAGACTCAACAGAAGAAAATTTACTTCTTATTTTACGTAATTATTATATAATCACTTTTATTTGAGAATCTTTAATTGTTGTAACTTCCTGCATTCTATTACAGTAAGAAAATATTTTTTATTAAATAAGTAGAGTAGTCAATAAATATTCTTGCAAAATTAACTTTAGAAGCTTATGCTTGTAACAACAATAAAATCAATATAGCTAGCGCAATAACCAAAAGCTCTCGTAAAAACCTGTTTAAAGGAGCAGCTTGCATGGTTCGTCATGTTCGTTTTAAGAGATCTTTCCTCCGCTCTCTCACTCATTTACTCCTGCCAAGACCTGGGTATATATATATATATATATATATATATATATATATATATATATATATATATATATATATATATATATATATATATATATATATATATATATATACTTTGCATTGTTACTCTTTAAATTTCTTTGGAACTACTCCTAAGTTTATAAATGATTACCACCATCTCAGCAAATTCTCTCTTCCAAGTCATCCAAAACATCACTATCAATGGCAAATATAAAGCAAAAGCTTTGATCAAAAGTGGCAATACAAATAAAAGCTTTACTTACTTTAAAATGGTTACTGTGTACCATACAGCTCTTAAAACTTAAACTTCAAAAGCATGATCCCATTACTAAGTTACATCAACCAAATAAAAATTTTCAAAAATTTATATCTTACTCTATTTATATCAAAAATTACAAATTGAAGTACAAAATGAACGTGTTCAATCTTTAATAGAAAACACAAATCAGAATATTTATACACTTAACTAAGATAAAAAGTCTGTTGTTATCTATTTATATTATCTTTAAGGGAACAAAACAACATGACTCAAACAATAGTTTTGGCTATAAATCTTTGGCAACATTTTTTTTGAGTTGTCATTTCATTTTTATCACTAACCAATGCTTTGTGGTATTTTTATTAAAGCTATTAACTATCCCACTTAAGATTAATTTATATGCTTAAAAAAGATGATGATTTAAAGGAAAAATATACAATATTGCCCTGGCTAATGCAAGCCAGATATTTGCATTTAATGTTCAGACTCATTATATGATTTACATGCTGCACTATAGCTCTTCCTTGGTTTTACAAATCTTTTTACACTAATAAGGAAACACTAATAAGGGTTCAAATACAATTCATATAATAATATTAGCACTTGTGATATCACAAAATTTGAAAATTTATTAAGTTTAAGCTTAAATAATGTTTTAATAGTAATAAAAATTTTGAGTCCCTTTTCAAATTTTATATACTGAAATCGATTAGACTAAATTATATCTATTTAAATATGGGATCTAATAAAACATAACAGATAGAGTAAAAATTAATTTATATTGGTCCCTCTTCAAATAATTGGAATTTTTATCTGGAAACAAAATTATTTCTTATGAACATAACTTTTATAATATTTTAAAACATTCAAAAATAACAATGATGAACTCATCAAATGAAAACAATATTAATTTCAAAAATTTATTTTATATTTTATTATCAATAAACTGTAATTTTTTTATTTAGCCATAGATAGCTCCATAGATGCAACAGAAAAACTGGCTCATCCAAAGCTATTTATTGAGCAATCTGTGAGCAATGTTAATCAGCTAAATGGAAGTATTGTTTGCAATGGCAAAGTCTGTGTAGCAGGGTTAGATATGATTGAATGCATCAACTATTTATTTAAGATGTTAGGGTATTTTCTCTGAAATATCCAAATGTTTTTTAAATTTCTGCAGTTCAAAATATGTTAATGAAATTTGGCAGAAAAAAATTAATAAATTTTGTAGGTCAGAATTAACGCAAAAAAATCTAATCACACCTCCCCCCCCCCCCCCCCATTATCTTTAAAATTGCTTTACAGTAAGGGAGAAGGTGAAGGGGGGGGGGGGGGTTGCATAATATCTCTTATACTTAAATATTATCTTATAATTTTCTCATTTGGCAGTGTTTAATATAGCATAAATTACTGTTATAATTTACAGCTTAAGTATAATTTAAAGTTTATGTTGCAGTTATAGTGTAATAAGCAAGTTATAATGTAATAAGCAAGCAATGTATTTAATACATATATTTGATATTACTTTTAGTAATTGTTTTTACTTAACATGATACTTAAAAAAGTAAAAGTAAAAAAGTAAGAGTAAAAACACAAATATTACAATATTTAAACCATTTTAATTAGTCATAGAAAACTATTTTATATGTTCACAAATATTACAATATTTAAACCATTTTAATTAGTCATAGAAAACTATTTTATATGTTCACAAAAAATACGTGTTATTTTTAAAGAGTATCGAGTCGTTATTGTAAAAAACTATAAAACAACAATAACAAAAACTGCAAAGTTGTTTTGACAATATAAAGAGCTTGTGTTAATTTAAAACAACTTCGTGACACTTTTTTTGCTCTTTTATACAGTTTATAACATTAATAACTTTAAACTTCATATTTGCGCAAAAAAATGCCTAAAGACCAAACAAATAAGATCAAAGCAAAAAAACATTATGTTTTTTTGCTTATTTATTGTTTTTATTATGTTTCTTGATCTAGCATACTTTTAATAATTCAAGTAAATTTTTTTTATTTAAATGGTTTTACAATAAAAAGTAAAATAAAAAAAAATTTAGTCTATTAAATCGAAATACATTTCTTAAAGTTTAAATATACGCTTAAATTAAATTTTTAGAAGTAAAATAATTTATTTTTATCATTTAAGCTTTTTATAATTTAATTATTGGTTTAACCTTTGCAATAATCACTACAGAATGTCTGCCAATATTTTAAAGTGGATTTCCCTGATTTTTCCCTGATTATTCCCTGATCCACAACCTGTTTTCCCTAATTTAATTTAAAGTTACCCAAATTTAACTTCAGAAAGCTCTTCATTTGCAAAATATAAGCATTAATACAACCCAAACTTAAAGTATCAAGAGAAAACTTTCTGCTAAATAAAAATTTTAATTACATGTATAATAAACTACTTAAGTTATGTAAGTTTGAGGAAGAGCCATTTTACCTGATTTCTTATTGATTTTTTCAAATTTAACTTAGCTTCCATAATTATTCGCTGATTTTTTGCACATATCTGAATTCCCTGACTTTAACTTGTTTTCCCTGATTTCCCTGATCTGGCAGACACCCTGCACTGGTTTAATGGTGGCAATAGAATGTTTTTAAATCTGTATCCAAGAAACAAAAAATAATTAACTATTTAAAATGTTTACAGTTTAAACAAAACTTTTTTCCTTAATTGCACTATATTTTAAATCTGATATTGTTACTGTAGACAGATATATGATCAACTTTCAGGAATGATCCTTGCTATGCCACTGGGTATTACAGATGCTATGACTTCTAATAAAAAACTTAGACAAAAACATTTTTTTTAAGAATGATAAAAAAAAAATTTATTTAGTAGAGAAAAATAAATAAATCATAAAAATATTTTTTTTTCTTAAAAAAAAACTAATTGCGAAGGTGTGAAAAGCAATTGCGATACGCTTAATTCGAGCCCTGTAGATTATATTTTTTATCATATTTATGTATTTATTTTTATGTTAAGATCATGCGTTTTTTATAAGTACATTTAGTAAACGTACAATAATAATTAATAATAAAGTAAGGAAGTTTACTTAATCTTCTGTTTTAAAATAAGGAAATATTGTTTCATTTTTATTACATCTAGTATTATCATAACAATAAGAGGTTCTTAAATTTTATTGTCAGACTTCACCCATATTTAATCTGGCAAGGCTTTTTTAAACAGTTTATCATAGCATTCTTGCAATAAGAGAAAAAAGAAACAAAAAGAAACTAAAGATTTATAAAAAAAATTATTGAATATAAACAAAACATAAACCTATTTTTTAGCAAAATAATACACTGGCTTTAATAAAAACTTGTTTCAGAACATCCAATAAAATGTTTTTTACAATAATCACATAAAGAATATTAAAAGAATATTATAACTATGACTATTTTTGATATTATTTAATGGTAAAAATAATTATTTACTTGGTCTTGCCCTTCTTTATAGCTATTTGAGGCTGATAATGATAGAAATCGTTCTATTACTTTAACAGCATTTATCTAATATAAATAAATAAAATCAATTATTTCCTTTATAATATATACAATATTATTGTATTCATAGGTATACAATGTAAATTATAATGTATAATATAAAAAATATATAATATATTTGTATTGCTAAATATTTAATAAAATTAATACTTGAACAAAAGTTCAAGCATGTTAGTAAGTGACCAGGGCCCCGGCTAAATTAGTTTTTTTGCAAAACCGGCCCCAGCCCGGCAAAATTATATAATTTAGCAGGGGCTTGAAAAAATTTATAATTCTTTATATACAATATATATATTATAAATTTATACTTATATTTACTATTTAATAAATTTAAACAAAATTAAATATTTAATAATTTATTTAAGCCAATATTAAATAAATAGGGATAGATACAGTAAAAAGATGCAACGTGTTGACTAAGAAGCCAAGCAACAATGAATTTTGGTTTATTGTAACAGATATGATAACTTGTTTGAGCATTGACCATCATTAGAGAAACAGCATAAAAGAGGAAGGCTAAAGCCTGCTGCTGCTGATGATGATGATGGTGATGATGAAAATAATGATGATGATGATGATGATGATGATGATGATGATGATGATGATGATGATGATGATGATGATGATGACAATAATGATGATGATAATGATAATGATGATAGCGATGATGATGATGGCGATAATGATGATGATGATAATGATGATGATGATGATGATGATGATGATGATGATGATGATGATGATGATAATAATGATGATCAGGTTTGGACAGGAATGGGGTGTGCTATTGCTGACCACGCAAATGATTTTATTTTTTGACAACTTGACCACGATTGTTTATATGTTTTGATGATTTAAAATTTCAGAAATGCTCTGAATATAGAAACGCTAAGCTAAACTTAAACTAGCAAAAAGTTAAAAAAAACAACCTACTAATCAACTAAAAGTAAATTTAGTTAAGTGAAAATATTAAAATCATTTTATCTTTTCATTCAATTTAACTTTCCAAATGTTTCATTTTTGTTTGTTTATTTAAAAACAAAAGCATGTACTATTATAATTAGAAACCAGAAAATTAGAAGCCAAATACCAAATAATCAGCTAGACACTCAGCCGAAGCACCAAAAATTCAGCAAAAAACACACAGCAAAAAACAGATGACTCCTTTTATTTTAAAATAATATCAACTTTGCAGTGGTATCTCTTTGATTTATCATCATTGCTTGATTTTGAAGTCAATACAACTTGTTTTTGAATTTTAAATAATGCTCTAAAGTTTAATAATTTCTATTGGAATTGTCTGTTGTTTTTTTAATATAAAAAAATATGTACATAATATAAGGTTAACTATACTCTTCAAACCACTTAAAAAGATTACAAAAATAACCAGCTCAGGTATTTGCATTTCAGAGGTAATTTCAGAAGTTAATATAGATAAATCTTCATTACCACCTGAACTTAAAACATTGTTTACTATAATGGGAATGTCAATTACATGGTTGCGATAAAACAATGAGATAAATCCTTCTCAATGAAAGACCATCACCAGTGACTAGTAGCACCGGCTCTACCTCACAAGAAAAAGAAATGTAAATGAAAAAGATCAAACTAATCTCTACAGAAAAACGCACACATATAAAGATGAGAGAAAGAACAACTCCTATTGAAAATGATATTAGTTTTTACACAAAATTGTTTGCTTAAATTGGACAGCAAATCCATACAAGTGTTGATCAGCAAACACAAAACATTATCCTAACAAAACTAGCTAAAAAAAAATTATTATTTGCCGGTGGCAGTGGTATCTAGCACATTATTGTGGTATTTTCAATAAGTTCTTTTCATTATTTTAGTTATCCATAACAGTATACTTTTCAGTATTTAGTGTGTCCATAACATTTGAATAAGCATTTTAAAATAAACTTTATAAAGATCTTAAATTTTTTTAAAGTTAAATTTAATATAAAAAAATTAAACTTTAATTTTAAATTAACTTTAAATTTCAACTTTATTTTCTTAAATTGAAATAAGTTTTCAAGAAAATGCTGTAAAACAAGCTGTTTATTAAAATTTTAATAAACTATTTTAATATTACATTTTATGTATCTATGCATACACAACGTGCATCATAATCAATTGTAAATTTACCACAAGAACTCAAGCTAAATCAGTATAGACTAATAATTTTGCATAAAATTTTTAGCCATAAGCAAAAAAAAAATCATTTTAAAAAAAAATGATTTTATATTTAGAAACCAGGTTTAGAAACCATATAAAAGAATTTATAAACCAGGTTTCTAAATTCTTTTGTCGTCTATTTGAAAGGATAGAGAGAATGATTCTAACTCACTATATATTATTTTAATGACAAATTTGTGACACAAAAGTTCAGGAAAAATCGTAAATACATTTTCTGAATCCTAAAACTGTAATTAAAAATATTTCAGTTAAACACACTTTTATGGCTCATAGTTCAAAACTTCTAATCAACTGAATTTATCAACAACTAAAAAGTATCAGGAGTATACTTATATCTAATTTGAAATTATTTTGAACTTAAGGTATCAAGAAAAAGGTGTTGTTTTTTAAAATAAAAACCTCAACTTAATAAGAAAACTTATGATTTTAGCCTGTAAATATAAAAATGCTAGTGTAAGATTTAAATTTTTTACTCTTATAAAAGTAATCATAGAGTACTTAATATAGATTTGGAAAAATAAGTACGGCCTACCTAATCAAACTAAGACTATTCAAGTTAGCTTGTGATCACAAAGTGAAAAAAAAAACAGTGATCTAAAAAACAGTGATCTCAAAAGGAGTTCAAACATCTTCAGAAATGACCCAAAAATTACATTGGAGATAATTCTATAGGTATTGGGGATCACTCTAAAGTAAAAAGTAAAATCTTTTGATTACATCTGCAGGAATATTTATTATAACCATATATATATATATATATATATATATATATATATATATATATATATATATATATATATATATATATATATATATATATATAAATATCTCTATATATATATATATATATATATATATATATATATATATATATATATATATATATATATATATATATATATATATATATATATATACAATATATATATATATATATATATATATATATATATATATATATATATATATATATATATATATATATATATATATATATATATATATATATATATATATATATAACCAATATTTATTTAAAGTTTTCACCTAATAATGACAAAAACTTTCAAGGTATGTTTTCACTGCTAAAATTTACTGAAAAAACTTTTTTTTTCAGTAAATTTTAGCAGTGAAAACACACCTTGAAAGTCTTAAATTATGCAAATATCTCTAACCAACATCTCTCAGGGCTGGATTTTTTTTCCTTCTTTAATAAAAATTGAAATTTGACAGCAAAAAAATCGTTTTTTTTATGTGATAAAATAACCATAAATTATTTTTAGGTATTTTTTTAAATTGATTTTATAAATTTTGAATTGTTCACTTTATTTGATTAATGCAATGACATCACAAATGGTGGACACTTTGTTCTAACAGTTAAAAATAACAGTTATAAATAAGAAAAAAGAAAAAAGGGAAAAAAAAACATAAATTAAATAAAAAATCAAATCAACTAAAAAGAAGAATAAATGTTTTGAAAGAAGAAAAGAAAAAGAAATATTCAAAAGAAGATAAGTAAAAAATCAAATCAAAAATAGAAGTTTAAAAAAAAAAGTTGATGAATGAAATAAATTAAAAAAATGGAAAAACAGAAAAAAAAAATTATTTAAACATCGGAAAAAGACTGGCAAACCAAGATTTTTTTTTATATATTTCTTTAGTTTTCTTTTGTATATTTCTTTTGTTTTCTTTCACATATTTCTTTAGTTTTCTTTTGTATATTTCTTTTGTTTTCTTTCATTTATTTCTTAGAATTATTTATGATTTATTTTTTAGTTATTGTCTTGTAATGATTTTTTTACTTTAGCTTTTTAGCATTTAAAGTTTTGCTTATTATTTTTTGTTAGTCATTTATTGTTTTATTTTTAGTTATTAATTATTTTTAAATAGTGATAAAATAATGTGATAAAATAATAAATGTGATAAAATAATAAATGTGATAAAATAATAAATGTGATTAAATAACAAATGTTTTAAACAGTTATATATTACTTGTTTTTATTTTTTATTTTACCCATTTATTATATATGATTTATTCTACAGTGTATTTTTTTTTTTTTTTAATTTGTTATTGTTTTTTATTTTATGTTTTTTTTTGTTTTGTTTTATGTTTTGTCGGTTTATTACGTTTTGTTTTACTGTTTTGTCACGTTTATTACGTTTTGTCAGTATATTACTGTTTGTAACTGTAAATTTGTATGTATAAATGATTGTTGTATGGAAAGTTATACCGATTTATTTAAATTATTATAATTACTATATATATATAAAGGCCTCTGCTGGAATAAATAAGTTTCAGGAGAGCTTGGCTTATATTCACATTCAATTTAGAAGAGCTTATCTTCACAAGAGTGGAGAAAAGCTCTCCCAAAATGAACATGAATGTAAGCCATGCGAGCTGCTCCTCTAAAAATCTTTTTACAAGAGCTTTCAGTTGATGCGCGAACTATCTGTTTTTTAGTTAAAAAAATTGTTTGTTAAATACAAAATTAGATTTTATATTTGTTACAAGCATATGCTTGTAACATTTAATAAATGTTACAAGCATATGCTTGGGTCATAAAATTTAACAAAATTTTGTGGTGCAAATTTAAAATTTTATTAAAAAGTTAATAGGATACAGGGTGTAACAAATCGACAAATGTGCGCGCATTTGTTTAAAGACAGACAGAAAAACAAACATCACGTTTCTTTAACTTTGCTTATGCAAACGTTGCCGTTTGAGTAAGATTTTTCAAAACAAATGCAATACTTCAGGAATTTTTTCAAAATAATTTTGCGATCAATAGTTTTTTATTTATTAAAAAAACACATATTTAATGAATAATAATTATTTTCAGAGACTTTTTTTAAAAAATGCCAAAACCTAATTACTTTTTTCAATAGCAACACTTTTTAAGTAAAATAACTAAGCACGCTATAGAAGAAAGTAATTATGTTTTAGCATGGTTTTTGCATGCGCTCACAAAAGTATGGATAATTTTACTTAAAATAAATGCTTTTGCAAAAAGCTCAAAAGAAACCGTCCTTAAACAATTCGATTGCTTACTTTCTTTGAAGAAAGCAATTGTAATGTTTAAGCGTGGTTTCTTTTATGTTTTTAGCAATTATATCAAAAGTTTAAAGCAAATGATTTCATTATAAATAAAATTATGCTGCATTTTTTTAATTTTCTTATTTTCCATAAAGTGAAATAATGTTTGTTTGCATATTAAAAACACTTTTAAAAGTTTTTTTATGCGTTTATCATTAATTTGCATGCACTTTGCAAATGTGTAAAAAAAAAAAATTTTGTAAAATGACAATTGAATAAATTTACCAAGCATCTTTGATATATTTGATAAATTATTAACTATAAATAAAAATTATTTGAAATTTGTTTGACATAAATCTCTTAAATTAGACATCAATAAATAAAGATACACAAGTCAACATTCATTGAAAAAAAAAAATTGATGTCACACCCTGGGAAAAAAAAAAAATTGATGTCACGCCCTGGGATAAAAAATAGTTGGCAAATGCGACTCTTTCAAGATTATTGTAATTCTTTTTTTTTAGTAAATAATTTCTTTATTAGAAACTATATTTCTATGATAAAACGGTTTGTAATCATTTTTTGATAGCTTCTGTACTCATTTTACCTTACACTAATCTGAATATTTTTTTCAACAATTGCTTTTTTTTTAAGTTGCATTAAAGTACTCAGGAAAATTTGTGGCAGTTTAATTGTAATTATGGAATCAATTAAATTAAAAATCGCATTTACATTTGCTTTGTTTTTTTTAGAGCATTTTTTAAAAACGCTTTTTATAAAAACTTGCCAAGAGCCGTGGTCAAGTTGTTAAAACGAGAAGGCCTGTTTTGTAAGCAAAAAAGTCAATCTGAAACTTGAACTTTGTCTTTTTTATTTGATATAGTAAGCACAAGAACTTTTAATTTTTTTTTTTGCATTTTCTACAGATAGAAAAAAAAAAAAAAAAGCGATTTATATTTATGAAAAAATATACCTTTGCGAGAGCCATAAACTGCTCCCGTAAACTGCTTTAGGGAAGTGTGGATGAGAGCTTTAGCTCTGGCTTCCCGCCGAGGCTTGCTATATTATTATTATTATTATTAATATTGATAAAATAACATGTAACTATTACTATTATTATTTATTATTAATATTATCATTATTAATATAAATATTATTTTTATAATTATTACCATTACTTATTTTAATCATTAGATGATTTGTCATTATTTTAATCATTAGATTTTTGTCATTAGATGTTTCCTTAATGTTAGTAGTTTATACCCTTTAGTAAACAACCTTGAAATAAAATACCAAATATTTCAGAAACATATTGATTGATTACTTCTTTTGAGTAGTTCAAAATTTTACTTTATTTACTCTCACTTATTTTGATGGGTTAAACAGTTTTTGCTTAACTGATTTTTTGATTGAAAGTCAAAAATATTTTCAACTGTAATCTTGATTTCAATTATGAGAAAATTCCAATTGGCATTTGCGATCCATGCAAACAACAACAACTTGAGACTGGTAATATTAATAGGCAGATACCAAACTTGTACAATTTTAATTTGATCATCATTAAGCTATTTAAAAGATATTCTGCTTGTCAGTGTATATTTGTTGAGTGGCTAAATCAAAGGTAAAGAACGATTTGCCACAGATTGAGCTTGATAAACTAAATCAAAATACAAAAGTTTGACTTGAAAACCATATCAAAGCTTCCCGATTCAATCCTTCATCATTTTAGCCATCTGAAAAAAGGTACAAAAGGATATCCTTACTTTTGCACTAATGAGGACCCTAATTGTGCCAAACAAATAGCAAGTGATTTGAATTCTAAAAAAAGATGTCTCTCCAGGAGATACTGTCAAGAGGTACTGTCTCTCCAGGAAGTATTGTCTTAGCAAAACAAGTGAAAGTAAGTCATTTTGTCAAGTATCAAGCAGCAGTTATTTACTGTTGAAACATTGGTTCAAATTCAAAGCAGTAATCTTTTCAATGGTGGTGTGAATAGGCTTTCATTTGCTCTAAATAGCTTAATAGGAAAAAGATTTGTAGAAGGAAAGGTGAGACAAAAACATGACAACCTCTGGAAATAATTAACAGACTTTTTCATGATGTCGAATGTGTCAATTAGGACAAAGATATGAAAAACCAAGTTCTGAAAGTTGTTCACTGCAAGAATTAAGTCTGGTCATTTCAATCTCATGTGGTATACAGTCTTAATTAGGCAAACAACAATGCTGCTGGTGATGTCTGATATTGAATCAGGTCATCATCAGACATCACCAGCAATATAGGTGTTTGCTTGAGTGAGACTGAATACCACACAAACAAAATGGCTGCTTTCATGTCACATGAGATTATTTAAGACACATCTTTAACTTAAATGAGACTCAATATCCTTAGATTTTTATATGTTTTAAGTATACTCTCTACTGAAACAACAACTAGCTTTTTTTATGCCACCAACCTGGACAGAAAAGCTTGAATGTATACATGATGCTCATTAAGTATAACTTTTCTTGGAACTTGTGTCAATTACGCTTAAGATAGTTTTCAAAAATAAACAACCTCTATCTCAACCTCTCAAAGTTTGACTTAATAATGTGATGTAAATCCTCTTACTGAAAGAATATGGTTTACCAGGTTACTCAAATTCTTGCAGTGAACAACTTTTGAAACTTCCCTCTTTGCTTCTGTAACTCTTTTTTGGTTTACTTAATGAAAAGAGTTTAAGAAGCAAATGTGAAACAAAAACTTTAGAGCTGATGCAAGCCTTTTTATAAACTCTTACTAAACCTTAAAAACTCTGACTGATCTAGAACATTTACTTCTTTATGCAATAACTGTGCTGAATTCCACTCTTCAGTTACAAAACTTAAATAAATTTAGAAATATTTAAAAATTATCCACCCTCCATTTATTAACTTTTACAAGCAATCTGAGCTTACTTTTGATGTAATTCCTCCAAAAAAAACTCCATCTTTTTCTTGAAATCTTCAACCGCAAGAATGGCCAACTCTTTTCCACCTCTAAATGCAAGCATATTATGGGGAACAATTTAAAGGAAATGAATGCAAAAATAAGTTTAATAATATTGGCATTCTTCAGAGATTTGCTCAAAAAGATTGTGGATTACAACCAACCCCTTTGTTGATTGTTTCAAAAAGTTTCAATCTGTTAAAAGAGCTAGCTTTAAAAAGATCTTGGAGGCAAAATTCTATCAAAGAACTTCAAATTCAAGCATTATTACTTAGCTTTTGGAATTTCAGTTACTTAAAGGATGTGCCATTTTTCATCAAATAAAGGAGTTTGGTGAAAAGATGATAATGGGCTGTAAGTTTTCAGTGACCAAACTACTCAATTGATGCATGCCGAATTCAAGATCCACTAAAAAAGGTATAAAAAGTAATCTACTCATCTTGAATATAGGGGCAAACTTGTAATTGACCTCAACAGCAACCACAATTAAAATTAAATTCTTCTAGATTTAAAACTGACTTTTTCGTAGTTTGGAATATACAAAAATTCTTCATTAAAGTCTAATTTTGGTTATTAGGGATGATGTTTTGCAATGTTTGCAACATTTAAGGCTTTAAAAAAAAAAATTAATGTGTATGACATTTGGAAGAAGGAGCACCGCCAAAAAAAATTCAAAAATAAAGGATTTTGGTGTATTTAGACAAATCTATTATCTCCTGCGGAAATAATTAAACTATTTTAATTTTTGCTTCAAAGTAATCTCCAATAACTATATAATCACCCTTCCATAACTTTTCTACCAATCATTTAGAATTTTACTTGCATACACTTTTTTTAATGTAATGTAATGTTAATTTTTAATGTAAAGCTCTTAATTACTAATCTAAAGAAAATTGTTTTTACTATTTACCTGATTTCCAACAGATCGGAAAAAAAAAATTGATCTTAAAGCCATTTATTACCGATCCAACCAATTTCACTACTCCATAAACAAAAGATGTTGAGCATAAAAATACGAAACCCGATTTTTATTTTATACTTATTTAAATTATGTGACATTCGCGCTCCTCCCTGGATAATACAAAAGACTTCACCCAAAACCTTATTGCGCAATGATTTTGTAAACAGTTTTCTATTCTGAATAGGTTCTGCGTAAATAAATATCACTTTCTTTTGTCAACAAAAAATTATATGAAAGAAAGAAACAAAAATTTAGAATGAGAAAACATAAATAAACGAATTGAGCTATGAAATCGACCAAGAATCTTTGTAGTATTATAACTAATTGATTGCAAAAATACATTACATTGTTTTAAAACATTTACATATGATGTACATTTCATCAGTACACAAAGGAAATGCACCAAATCCTAAAACATTATTTTAAGATTTTTTTTTTTTTTTTTAACATCTTCGCTTTCAACGAGGCTGCAAGCAACCACTAATTAGTGTTGGAAGTTACTGGAAGAGAAAAGATGAAGATTGTAGAGCAAGATAACGATTAACAGACGACTTAAAATTAGGGTTCGACGATTTCGGTAACTTGCCAAACAGTTACTTTTAGTTACTGGTAACTGCGGTAACTTGAGGGTATTTTGAGGTAACTTGAGTGTAACTTAAAGTAACTTGAGTGTATCTTATGGTAACATTGGGTAATTTTGATTTAAAAAAGTAAGTTAAAAAATATATATTATTGATAGAATGTGAGAATTTATAATTATTATCAATACACTCGCGCAAATTTCATTTAAGCCGTTTGCATACAAAACATGTATATATAACAACAAAATTTGTTGTTATATAAAAATTATTTAGCTATAAAAGACTTAATATTTTACTTAAACTTTTTTGTAAAACTGTTGGATTTTTACTTAAAAACTAAATGCATATAAAAATGTTAAATTGCTGAGCATTCTGAGGTGCTATAAACTAAACTTTAATTTAAAGCACCTCATACATTCAGTAGTAAAGTAAAAATAGAACGATCTTATATCAAAAATACTCTAAACTAAAACACTTACTTTTGATATAAATCATTTATATTAAATGTTTATAATAAAACATTGTAACAAAGATATAAAATTTAAAAACATGTGATTTTAAGAACATCCAATTAAATAGATTTTTAATATTTAAACGCACTTGCGTTGATCCGTATGAAAGTGACCGGTAACTAGAATTGAGCTACCGGTAGATTACCGGTAACTTACCGGTCAGTAACATTACCGGTAAGTAACTTGCCGAACCCTACTTAAAATATAATGAACGAATAAGTTTTTGCGTAATAGTCAAAATAATAAGTTTTTGAGTATTAGTTGAAATGAAAAATCTTAATAACTCATTAATAACTGATTTATTAAATTTGTGTCAAACGATATATAATTTGTGTCAAACGTTAATCAAACGATTGTGTCAAAACGATATATAATTTGTCTCAAGCGATAATCAAACGATAGAGAATTTACACTGTGGATAGAGTACTGAAAGTTGTGACTTTCTATTAGCGCGTTTATTGGTTGTTAAAGGTCACGTGTAAAAACAAATCCCGGGTTTAATGAAGAGTTTTCTTGACTTTATATACTTTTGACCGCCGAGAATTTAAAATATTAAATAGTGGTATAAATAACTCCATACTGCCAAAAATGGACTTGGTGCACTTCGCTTGTATACCGACAATTTGTTCTCACTCATCTTATCTCACCCTTTCATTCTCTTTCTTTTTTTTCGTTTTTGTTAGCCTTACTCCTTAAATATTTTTTTTCTAATTCCGATTTTTTTAATATTATTGTACTATGACTTTTTTTTATTACTTGTTTTATTCTAGTTTACTCTTTATTATTTCCATTAACAAGTCCCAATATTGTAGCTAAAAAAAAAAAAAAATTTAACTTTTTACATGGTCATTCGCTTTTATTCATATATTTATCTACTTTATTTCTCATTTCATTATTTTCAACTATTTTTTTTAATTTTTTTTTTCCAAAGCACTATTCACAAAATTTCCAAATAACATCCCGAATTAAGAGAAAGTAAAAAAACAGGAAAATTCAAAGTTCAAAGACAGTTAAGTTAAAAACTTTTGTATTGAAATTCCCCTCTAAAATATTTTTTTTTTTAGGTTTGATTTAATCCTCATTTTATTTAAATGAATAGTCAAATAAAAATATCTTTTATTTCGAAAGCAATAAATGACAATATCATCCAGAATGCTAAAAACTATTTTATCTTTTACCTTGCACCGCGGATAAATAATCAGAAAAACAATATATTTGTAATCATGTAAATGTTTATACTTTGCTCTTAGAACACTTTTGACAACACAATATAAAACATGAGTTCTTACCTTTATATTTTCATTATAAGGGTTTTTGTTAAACTTAAAAGTTACGTTTGTTAATTAAAATACCGAGTGAATTTTTTTTGTTATCGCTCTTATTTATCTCGTTATCTACCTTATTTATCTCGTTATCTACCTTATTTATCTCGTTATCTACCTTATTTCTCATTTCATTATTTTCCTTTCTTATCTTTTTTTATTTTTTACCTAAAAATTAACAAATAACATCCTGAATTAAATGAAAGTTCAACAAAAATTATACACACACACACAAAAAAACTTTTCAAATCCAAAACTTAAAGAGTTAAATATATGAATTTTCAACTTCAAATATATTTTTTTCTTACGTTTTATTTAATCCTCGTTTTATTTAAATCAAATGACAAAGATGTATGTTTTGAAAGCAATATATTAAAAAAATTATCAAAATTGCTGAAATTATTTTATCTTTTTACCTTTACATAATAAGGGATAAATATTCAAAAGAAAAAGAAAACAACATATATATATATATATATATTTATATATATATATATATATATATATATATATATATATATATATATATATATATATATATATATATATATATATATATATATATATATATATATATATATATATATATATATATATATATATATATATTTGCTTTATGCAAAAATATTTAAAAACCAAGATAAAATGTTAAACCAAATAATATATAAAAATAAAACAACAACAACAAAAAAAAAAGCTATTAAAAATAAATCAAGATATTTTCAATTGAAAATATAATTTTATTAAGTTTTTGTTTGAATGAAGCAAAAGTCAGTTGGGTGGAAAAATCAAAATTTGGTAAGACTGTTTTTGTTCCAGAGATAAGGACCTCGATAAGAAACAAAAAACTGGTCTTTGCTTTTACGACAAAAAAGGGCAATAAGATTGTTATTAATTCGAAGATTATACTTGTTTTTAGGTTTCATACAATAAAGGTTTTGAAATACATTTGGCGACAAATTTTCTCTACATTTAAATATGAAACATAAAATATTAAAGACATTTAGTTGAAATACATTTAAAATATTCATTTATTTAAAAAGTTGTTTCGTATGAAAAAACCGATTTTTAAAATTTATTGCGCGCGTTGCGTGTTTCTGATGAAGGTAAAGAGATTTTAGCTTTGTTCTGTGAGTGCTTCCACATATAATATTCGCGTAGTTTATATGACAATGTATAAATTATTAATATAATTGTGTTAACTGGTGTTAATTTAATATATTTCTTGCTTTATAGAGAATTCCGATGCATTTAGCAATTTTATTGGAGGTATTATCAATATGATTTCTCCAAGATAAATTTTCATCAATATATACTCAGAGAAATTTAGTAACTTTTTTTCTTTTTATTATTATATTATCAATTAAAAGGTCAGGCATAATGTGAGGCAGTTTCTGGTTTTTTAAAGTTGGATAAAAAAGTGTCCATTTAGTTTTTTCTCTATTTAGAGACAATCTATTTTGTTTAAATCAAACAGAAACTGCAAATTTTATTGTTGATAAAATTTGATGATTTATGAAGATCATTTATGTACATTAAAAAAATAAGAGGACCAAGGATCCTTGTGGAACACCACATGTTATATTCATTAATAGATGAGATATAGAATCTTTATTGTAGACAAGCTGTTTACGGTTAGCAAGATAACTTTCAAACCATAATAGGGTTTTATCTTTAATACCATATGATTTTAGTTTTTTTAACAGGATTTGATGATTGACGGTATATATTGCCTTGGACAAATCAATAAACACTCCTAGTGTAAAACAAGAGTCTTTAAATGAGTCAGTTATTGCGCGTAAGTTGAAGAATGGCATGCTCGGTTGAATTATTTTTTTTTTAAAGTGGTTTTCGTATAGAATATCTTTTATGTTTATGTAAATGTGTAGCTAGCTCTTACTTTTAAGAACACCAAATAAAACATTAGTTGTTACCTTTAAAAATTTTATCTTTTAAAGCTGTTGTTACTTTAAAACTTACATTCGTTATTAAAAAAATTAGAAGGATTTTTTTTTACTTAATTATCAAAACCGGTTAAAGGTAGCCAAATTTTAATTTCGATTTCGGTGATATTTTTTTTTAATCTACTATTGCGGACGATTTAGGTTTAAACTGTACTAATACATTCTCCTTAAACAAATTAAGTTGTATTCAAAGTTAAAAGTTATATCAATTATTAAGTTTGAAATTGAAAAGTCCGGTTGGAATTAAAGAATAAGTATTAAAAGATTGATCTATTGTACCACGACTTGTGCTGTTCTTGTTTAGTACGAAGATAACAATTTTCTCAATTATCGAGATTGCGTGTATAAAAATAAATGTTTTTTCATTTTTTTTGGCAAAAAACGGTAAACACCCAATTTTAATGGTGTGGTCCAATATGTCAGGAAGTGCTACAAATCTTTATATAGTTAAAAATTAAATTATTTCTTCACCCGGTCATTGCTTAAATCCCTGAAAACTTATTGTTTAGGAGCATTTCAACCGAAAGGGTTCAAATATAATAAAATAAAATCTTTATTTTTATTGAACCAATTGATTTTTAATTGCGTAAAATAGTAACAGTTTATATATTTCTGATAGATTTTTGTTATATTGGTTAATAAAAATAACTATTTATTACAGCTAGTATATAATTAGTCAGCTATTTTAAAAACGCATTTAAATGCAAAACAATGGTCAATATTTAGTTATCAACGCTGTTGCTAAATAACGATGTTTTAAGTATTTTTTCGAGGCGAAGACTAACACAGTTTGAGAACTATTCATCATTGCATCCACATAATAAAAGGCCACATTATTTAACAATATGTATTTTGTATAAAAAAATATGTTTAAAAGGTTGAAAATATGGATAAAGTCTTTCTCGGAGCGGTGCTTTAGCCAACATTTATTAATATGATTTATCAATGTAACTTTAATTTCAATCTTTATCTACAACCTCTAAAAAAATTAAAAAAAAAAAATAGTCGGCTAGACGGGTATTTGACACAATTCTGTCGGTTAAATTTTCGTTTTGAGGCCTTTTTTTTTTTTTTTTGAAGCAAATCGGTACTCTTTAAGTATTCCCCCCCCCCTCATTCTATTCGTCTGACTACATTTTTCAATACATTTATATTTCACAAATAACTTTGTAAAGTTTTATATAAACTTTATATAAACTACAATTATATAAACTTAAATGTAGCAATATGTAAATATTGTTACAATTAAATTTATATAACATATATGCAACATATATATAACATACATTTAAATACAATTTACATTTTGCAAATCGCTTTGTAAAATTTATGTACTACATTTTTCATTCCTCTCGTTCATTTTCTCCATCACATTAGCATAAATTATGTAGAGCAGCGTTTACTCGGGGATTTCCCCGTACTCATCTCCTGCAACTAAACCTGCAAACAACTTTTTTTAACGCTAAATGTTTTGAAACATCTATGTAATAAACTTAATCAAGTTAAAAATTTTTTGAACAAGTATATTATAATTTTTGTAAAAAATAATTAGAGTAGTAAAACGTAATTTATTGCAGTTTTGTTTTATACCTATACGATTACTTTTATTATGGTTTTTATGATGTTTTTAATTGTTATAATCGTTACGCATTGCTTCGCGTTACGATTGGAAAGAGTTTATATAAGTTTGTAGTTTAAAGAACGGATTTTAAACGCTCAAGAGCTTTCATGTTAATGCATAGGTACTTGCAGCTGCATAGAAGTTGAGGACAAAGGAAGCATTTAATAGTTTAAGAAATTCAGTACATAACTTTATAAACTACATTTATAAAGTTATAAGCTGATGTTTTATTTTTTTAATGAAAATAGTTATATATAGTTGATTAATTTTTAATTAAAAATAGTATTTTGAAGAAAATTATAATTTTTTGACATATAAATTAAACTTGTAACTTTTCATGTATGTTTAAACACACACACACACACACACACACACACACACACACACACACACACACACACACACACACACACACATACACACACACACACACACACCAATTTTTAAAATTAATATTTTAAAATTACAAAAATGTTAGAGTAATTTTATTTTTATATACAAATTTTTTATAAATACTATAAACAGTGTGAAATTCTTTATTATAATTATCTCTCATTACTGTGTAAAAAAAAAATATCTTCTAAAATAATCAAAGCTTTCTGTTTTTATTTTCTTTTTCATCTTTTTCTATAAATATGGCCTTGTTTAATGCCTTGTTTATCAAGGTTCAAGTTTTGAATATTAGGTTGAGATACATACATACATACATACATACATACATACATACATACATACATACATACATACATACATACATACATACATACATACATACATACATATATATATATATATATATATATATATATATATATATATATATATATATATATATATATATATATATATATATATATATATATATATATATATTTGTTAATGTATTGTTTTTTATTTGTTAATGTATGCTTTTTTTGGTTGATATATAAAAATACATAAATATGTAATATATAAAAAATAGTTATATAAAATTTTTTATTTAGACATTAAAAAAAAAAGAAAAAAAGATTTATTTGCTATTCTCCTAATATAAAAAAACCCACTTAGAACCTTGTCAAACCGACCAAACAATATATATGTATGTATATATATATATATATATATATATATATATATATATATATATATATATATATATATATATATATATATATATATATATATATATATATATAATATATATATATATATATATATATATATATATGAATAATGGCTTAATGGCTTTGTTTAAAAATTGGATCTCCTAGTATTATATATACATGAATCTCTTAAAGATTTACTATAAATAGTAAAAGAAAGTATTTTTAGAATTGTTTTTGATACAACCAAGTACTATTTTACAGTATGGGATGCCCCACAAATCCTGTTTTAAGTTACCCCATATTTGCTAATAGAAAATAATCGCTTTATTATTAGTATCAACTTGTATTTTAAATATTTTTGTTTAATGAAGTAAAGAGTGTATGGATTATAGTTTACAAAATAATATTACTTACTGATATACACATTGAAAAAGATACTTTAAAACTTATCAACTTTAAAATTTAATAAACTACTTTGTCATCAAAAAAACACAAATATTGACCCCTCATATATATATACATATATATATATATATATATATATATATATATATATATATATATATATATATATATATATATATATATATATATATATATATATATATATATATATATACACACACACATATACAGTCAGCGAAATTCAGGTCACAATGCCGATGCAAAAGGCAACCTATCTTTGCTTTAGGATGGCATACAACTGCTGACCTGAATATCCTAAAGAGTCGACGTACAAATTTAAATACATGTAAAAAATATATAACATTCATTAAATATTATTTTTATAATTTTTTTATTGTCACTACTTTCTTTTCAAGTTTGACATGTTTTATTAAAACAAAAATTCATTCATTTTTTTTTTCAATTCTTTTTTTCTTTTTTTCTCAAATTTATTCAAGTGATTCTTCTGATTAAGAAAATTTGATTTCTAACATTAATTTAAGCGATATTGCTGATGATGATTGGACAGAAAATTCTAATAATGAGTAAATTATGAAAATATGTCAATAAGACAATTGAAATTTTGTGGAAACAATGTTTATATATAAGAAAAAAAGAACAATTTTTAGTATTTTTAAATTTTCTTTTCCTTCCATCAATTTACATATAGTTACATGTTCATACTATACTACAATTAAATATTGAAAAACACCACCCCTAATACTGGAGAATTAAATGCTTATTTCTTGCAATCTAAAAAACCAATTAAAATGTAATAAATAAACTGACTATTTTTTTTGTAAAAAAAAGCAACTTCAAAACTAAAAAATCATTAATTCATAAATTTGCTTTATATTTAATTTACTACATAAAATTTAATTGCTACATTCTTTAAAATACTATTGTCTGAAGCTATATTATTATTAAGCAATCCTTTTATAATCAATTAATCATTACCCCTATCGTAATAGAAATCAAAAAATCATTTTTTTCGGCTAAGGTCAGCCTTTTTCGGCTAAGGTCAGCCTTTTCGGTCGGTCTAAAATTACTTCGAATTTTGCTGACTGCATATATCGGAATTAGGAAAAATGAAGTTGGCACTAATTTGCTGACCTCAATCTTCGTTTCGTATCGGTTTTTATGGAACATTCATAATTCTTCTGCCCCAAACAGATATTTTATGATTTCCACACCCCGAGCAATACATGAACTTTAACATTCAAGCAGAATAAATGGGCGTTTAATACTTACTAAATTAATGGATCGTAAACAAAAGTTTAACTAAAAATTTTAAACTTATTTTGTCCAAGCCTGCATACCTAATATTAATATATTTCCTTTATAAACATAGATTAAACTTTAATATTAGCCACAGTAGGCCTTTTTCATCAGTACATCACTAGTGTTGAGCTCTTGCTCCAGCTATTGCAACTACTCAATTATTGCATATCTCCGTCTTTATGTAGGGCTCTTCATTTTTAGAACAAGAAAAAGTTGCAAGAGGCCAAATCTGTTCAATGTGATGACTAAGGCATGATTGTATTGTTGTTTTTAGTTAAAAAATTGTATTGTTATTTTTAGTAAAAAAATAACAATGCAATCATAGCTCATAAGCAATAATGAGAGAGAAGGTATATTATAGTGATGTTAAAGCTATACATTGTTTTTCACAATTCAATACATTTTTTTAAATATTGCTTCTTGCAAACAGAAATAAACAATTAAAAAAAAAAAAAGATTTTTCATTTTTATCTTCTCGGTCATCTTAAGGGGCTTGTATCACTTATAAACATTTTTTTATCTGTATCTGTTGATATCTGTTGATAACAAACTAAATACGAAATATTGGCTAAACTAAAAAAATGTTTAAGAAATTTTTTAACAGGTTACCTATCTGTGGACATTTTCATTTTCCAAAGGTAAACACGAAAACTATGTTAGATAAAATAAAGTAAAATATGAAATTTGTTTATAATCTTGGCAAAAAAAATTAAAAATTTAAAATAATTTAATAAAGATTAATGGTCATTTTAGTGAAAAAACATTAAATACTAAAAAACGTAATTGCAGCTTATTTGATGTCTTTTCATGTCAAATTTGTGTACAACTTTTGAATTAATATTGCCAAAATCAGGTAATTTAATTCATTTAAAATTATTTTATTTTAAGTTGTTTTTTTTTTAAATTTTGCAACTTTTGCTTTTACATCATTAAAGTTAGTGTAATATATTTTATTTATATTTGTTTAACGCATATTGTATTATTATATTTTATAAAAAGGTATCTAGCTGGCTACATTCTTAAGTAGTAGCTATGTAATAGTTATGAGTGGACTATATAGTAAGTATATAACAGGTATGTAAGTATATAACAAGTATATAACAGGTTTTTGTAATAAGGTATATAACAGCTTATATTGTAGCATTTGCATAAAAACTATGTAGTGGGCGGGAACACTGTGGGCTATCTTGTAACTATATATTTAGCTATTTAAAAGCTATATAGCAGTTAGTAGTAATTATATCCTAAAAAAAAAAAATTACACCCAAATCAAAACTTGGACTAATTCTTCCTCGCGATTGCACAGGCTATCACTAAATTAACAAGGATAACTTTTGACTTGATATTGTTAAAAATAAGTGATGTATTTAGTTAAAACTGTATTATGCTTTAGATTTTAAATGGAAATTTTACAATCAGAAAAATTTAAGTTTATTAAAAAGTGTCCTATTTGCAATGAAGAAAATGATAAAGATGCTAACTGGTGTTTAGAATGTGGAAAAGCAATTGTGTCTGTTGAAGTGAGGAGGTGTCAGTTATTGAAAGGAGATGCAAAACCATATATTCCATTATCTTATAATAGTAAAACTAATATAATGACTAATGGTAATAAGATTTTTTATATTTATTTCTTTTTTATTATTATTATTTCAGCAAAATATTATTTTAAATTTAATAATCTTTAGAAATCAAAGAAGAGAAAAATTTCTCATACTACACTCATTCAGCTTCTTATGATCAAAAGGCAGATGATTCTCAAAGCAATTCACCTGTATATTGTAAATCAGCATGTCAGGACAATAAAAAAATAGATCATTGTTTTTATGCTTTTGACGATTTACTTTATCCTGGTTTTGCCATATATAATCCCATTCTTGGATATGTTTTTCCTTCTTCTAATGTTGTATCAAATGTTGAAATTCATTACCAACAACAAATATTTAAAAATAATGAAAAACAATTTTATCAAAAAGTTCATGCAAAGAAAAAAAAGAGTTTGCAGAAGGTAGATTTTTATTCTTTTATACTGTATTTAAGTTGAAGTATTGGAGTTTAAACTTTATGAAATATTTTCAAAATGCTCCTGTGTTTTTTGTTCCATATTTGTGTTGCAAATTAGGCACTTATTATTTGTTGTTAATACAAATAGCAAAAAATTTAATAGAAATTAAACAAACAAAATTAATCATGATTAACATAAAAGCACTTCAGTTTAATGTTTTATAAATCATTAATATTAATAACTCAGTTTCAAATTTATGATTTTAGAAATCATTCTCTAATAAGACTTTTTTTGATGCATAGGCAGATCCAAAGAAGCATCAAGTGGGAGTGTTTTAGATCTGTAAAAAAAGTAAGGGTTATGACTTTCCATAAAGTTTTTTAAATTGCTCAAAAAAAATAAAATAATAAGATCTTCTGACTAACTACTATTAGTTTTGTAAAATTTATTCCTTAAGTAAAATTAATAAAAAAAAAAAAGTTGAATGTTGTAATTGCTAGCAAAAAAATTGTTTTGGTTTAATTTATTATAATTATTAATTATTAATTATAATTATTAATTATATTTATAGCAATATTTGTAATGCTAAAAAATTAAGTTGTAATTGCTAGCAAAAAAATTGTTTTGATTTAATTTATTATTTGTTTATTATAATTATTAATTATATTTATAGCAATATTTGTAGGGCGACCAAAACTATAAATTGTTTTTTTTCCCACAAACTCACAAATGATTTTTGCGTGCGGTATTAATTTTTTTGATATTTTAGTACAGTTCTGAAGGATTTGTGTGTGAAAAGTTTTTATTTAGTAATTTTAAAAAGATTTTAAAAGGGCATTAAACTTAATGTAGCAAACTTAGAAACTTTAAAAATAACCTTTCAAGTTTAGTAAAATTTATCAGGCTTACATAAATGAATAATTTCAAACAAAAATTAAATGCCTTTTCAAAAATTCTCTGCAAAATTACATTCATTTCTTTAAAACAAAGAAGTCTTCGAATCAAAACAAACATTAACACATCAATCAGTTATCAGAAAAATTAGGAAAAAGATTTTAGATGAATAAAAGCTGGCAACACACACACACACACACTAAAGTCACTGCAAACTATCTCTTAAAAAATTCAAGTACTTACAACAAATAAACAAAAATTTTAACATTCTCAAAAGTCATTTTAACTTGGTATTCATTCAATCCAATTTATGCAAAGAAATGCTGAAATTAGACAAACAATGTACTCAACATAATCAAAAATGATAGATAAGAAATCAAAAATTCGTTTGACAAAAACAAAACCCAAAGTTGCCGCAAAGTAAATCCTTACATTCTGCAAACTGTTACGTTCTGATTGAAGAAATACATATTTGTACAAAATGGCCAAAAACTACTTTTGAAAGAACAGACCAAACCACCTGTGTTAGGTGAAAGTACATTGTCCCTTATTTCCATTAGCTTGTATCTTGGCTGCAAATTTTCATTCTACTAGTTTGGTATTTGAGACTTGATTGATAGTAGCAAGTTTCTTTATACCAACATTAGACAAGCCTGTGTTTATGATTGTGCTTGAATGAGACTTTTAGTTGTTAATGCTGGTTCATCAAAAAGACTTCTGGAGCTTGAGAGGCCTATTACACGGAATAAGTTTAAATAAAATTTTACTCTAGAAACTTCCCTGCTAATAAATTTAAGCAAGAAGGAAGCTTTCAATGTAGATTTTTATAAAAAGAAAAAAAATAACTACAAGCAAGAGTTTCTAGAGTTATTTTTTGTAACTATATAAACATACCTGGTGTCAAAGGAAATGATGGCCCTCCATTGGTTCTGGCGATGTGAATAGTTCTATGAGGTGAAGCCTCTTTGGTAGCTGTGACAATTGTTTCAATTTGCTCTGCTGTTTTTATATCTTTGGATGTCAGCTCTTTCATATTTTCTTTGAAAGTTTATTGACTGCAGTTATGAGGCCTTTACTAATGAGACTTAGACAAGTTGAACATCTTCTTGATGGCAAAGAGAAGTTTTTATCACATTTGGCTACAATTGGGCTTTCTTCATTCAGTTTGAAATGACCAATTTGACAGATGGTGCAATAGCAGTCTATGACATGTGTGCTAGGTTTCGCCTGGAAAAGAAATCAAATAATGCTGGGAGTTCAACTGATTCACCTTAAGCTCTTTTAAGTAGCAAAAATTGACAAGAAGAGCAAATTCTAGAAGGTAGAAGACAAGAAGAGCGAATTCCAGAATCAGTTATCACATTTACATAATATATATATTAGCAGCTACCTATTTTGTTTCTACTTATTATACACATAAATAACAACAAAAAACAAAGAACCAGCCGAAAGCTTTTATAACTAACTGTACATAAAACCAAGACAATAGGTTAGCCAGACCATAGATGCCAAGAAGCTCCCTGAGGCAACAAAGCTGTCAGTTGTACAAAAAACTCATAATTGCTTATGCTGAAAACAGCTAGTGCTAAAAGTCTGATAAATAGCACATATTTAATGTAGTACATATTTTTTAAAGAACATTCAACTTAACTTTAGGATTAAAACTTGAGGTGTGGTTTTTGCCAAAATTCTAAACCATGTTTCTTCCAATTGTGTAAAGTTTGTCTTTGTTTGACAACAAGTGATCTTTTATGAATTTTTCCAACAGAGAGTACTTAATTGATAAAGAGAAATAAGCAAGTATGGATTAAGTAGGGATCAAATTCCACATTTGCCTCCTTTTTAAATGGTATGTTGCCCTCAGGCAACACCAGACAACATAGGGTTAAAATAAATTTGAGTGTTTTGTCAGCAGTGTAAAGATTAACATCTTTGCAACACAATGCTTCTACAGCAGCTTTTAAAGGCTGCAAGGCTAATATTATGTTTGATAATAAGTCAATATCATTTTCATTGAATGTGATTATAGACTCCATATCAATTAGACTTTCTCGTATAGGATTTCTAACTTTATTAAAAGCTCCAACATTGTTAGTAGGCTACTCCAACGTGTTTGAGTGTTCAAAATTAATGAAAGTTCCTTACTTATTCCCCTTTGATTTTTTTTCTGTAGTTTTTCATACTTTTTTGTCAGTGATAGATGAAATAATTTATCAATTTTGCGAATCAGTGGACCAGTTGCATACCTTGCATGCCTAATAATTGGATCAATGACTGTTTCAAATAATAACTCTAAACTGCCAACATCTTCTTCTTCCTCATCGTTCAAAAAATATTCTTGTTCTAAATAAGTCTGCTGGTATTGATCTGTGACCTCTAGCAAAACCGAGACTTCAAAATTTACCAAATGTTAGTATATATATATATATATATATATATATATATATATATATATATATATATATATATATATATATATATATATATATATATATATATATATATATATATATATATATATATATATATATATATATATATATATATATATATATATATATTAGTATAACCCTTAGCATCTAACAGTGTTCCTAAATCATAAAATGTATTAAATGGTACACATCTTTGGCTTTTTTTCTGAAGTATTTTAATGTTTTTGATGAATTACTTAAGTTTGTAGATGTATTTATGTTCATTAATGTAGGCGTAATTTTATTTGGTTTATCTGCATTATCTCTTTTTAAAAGATTAATTTTGTGCTGTGTTTGAAGATGTACATACCACTCCTACTGCCACCAGAAGCTTTAATTACTTTTGAACAATTACTTGCATTAACCTATATTTTCATTTTGTACCCCTATAAAATAGTTTCATGGTGAATTTTTATAGTTGACTGATGCTAATTTTTATGGTTGCACCAGATGGTCAGGTCAGGTTTATCCTGCTACTGGTAACATGTAACCCAGTACAATCTGCTTCATGTCCTGCTGCCTTGTAGGATATGCCTTTTTAGGCAAAGGCTAGGAGATGCAAACTCCGACATAAAACACCCCCTGCCTTGGGGCTCTTGGTTAAGTAAAAGCTAGAGATGGTGTCTCAATAAAAATACTCATCTTGGGCAGATGTTAAATGCATTCGGCTGCTCTTGTAGAAGGCCTCCTAGGCAAAGACTGTTGACCAGCCTCGCACCCCTTCTTCATCTATTAGGCTGGCGCAGATGTATTTTTAATACATTGTTTCCAGTTTAGGATGTTGAACGCTGGATCTTCTTGACTTAATTCATGGGTTTTGCTTTTGTCTCTGTTTTTATGACTGGGCAACTCATTCTATTATCTCCAAACGAGGGTACAGCTCTAAAACTCAGTTTTATGGTTCTGAGGCCGGCTGGTAGTCAGGTTTCCCGAACTCTGTGGTAGCTCTCAGAGGCTGATTCCATCAACAGCTGAAAAATACCAGAGTACTAACAGTGCTATATTGCGCATGGATGGTGTCCCTGTTTGTACTTTAGGTGTGCATTGCCAAGGCTACATTGGAGCCCTTTGTTACGGCTTAGGATTTATTAGTGGAAATGAGGCGATTGCTTGGGCTGTAAGACAGTGTACTGAGTACTATCTATGTTTAGTCAAGTTCTTTAACAAATTTAAAAATGAATAAAGTAACAAAAACTATAAAACACAAAAAACCACAGTCATCACCAAGTTTGCTAAACCTATCATTCACCAATATTGTTGGTCTTCGAAGTAACTTTTCTTCTGTTGAGTCTTATTTCTTGCAAAGTTCACCAGACCTACTTGCTTTTTGTGAGACTAATTTGAGTTCAGCTGTCTCATCTTGTGTTTTACTTGCTCTTTGTTAGACTAATTTGAGTTCAGCTGTCTCATTTAGTGTTGATGGTTATCTTCCTTTAATTCGCAAAGACTCCAATAGTCACATTCTTGGCCTAGGGATTTACACTCGTAAGAATTCACCCATTTATTGGGAAACTAGGTTTGAATCCATAGACTACTCTTTAATGTGCTTTCGTTTAGCACCACTTCACTCTATCACCTTTCTCTTTGTTCTATATCTCTCCCTCATCTCAAGACTGCACTCTATCACTTCACTCTATCACCTTTCTCTTTGTTCTATATCTCTTCCTCATCTCAAGACTGCACTCTTCTTGATGTTATTTCTGATTATATTGACCAAGCCCTCATTCTTTATCCATTAGCCAATATTGTTGTTGTCGGTGACTTCAATGTTCATCACACTGAATAGCTTGGCTCTAGTGTCAGTGACTCTGCAGGCATTAAGGCCAACAACTTTTGTCTTTCTCAACCCCTAACTCAAAGTCAACTTTCCAACTCGCTTTCCAGACAACCCGAATCATTTACCTTCTCTACTCGACTTATGTCTTGTTTCTGATCCTAGTCAGTGCTCAGTTTCTCCACACTCACCCTTAGGTGCTTCTGATCATGGTTTGGTTTCTCTAAAACTATTATCTCATTCTTCTTTACCATCAGAATTCCCCTATCATCGTACATCTTACAACTACCTTAAAGCTGACTGGGACTCTTTCCATGATTTTCTTCGTGATGGCCCCTGGGTAGAAATCTTTCGTCTTCCTGTTGACAAATGTGCTTCTTACATAACTTCGTGAATTCAGGCTGGCACGGAATCCTTTATTCCTTCTTGACAATTCCAGGTCAAGAGTCACTCTTCTCCATGGTTTTATATATCAACAAATCCTTTGTGCAAATTATCCAAATGGAATTACTTATGTATCAATCATTAATATTGTCCAGAAGGAATCATACCAATCATTAATCATGTCTCATTGAAGCATACTAATTTTTAACAATGTACAAAAAAAAATTATTTTTTTACTGATCATTATGTTTTACTTTATATTTGTTGTTTTATTTATAAAAAAACAAGTGAGGTGACTTTTTTTTTATAAATGAAACAACAAAGTGTCATTTCTTATTAATAGATCGTAGTTTTTCAGATTTGTTATTTTTTTTTACTGAATTTACTGGAAATCATCAATTTAATTACAGGTTACAAAATTAGATAATTTTATTTGATTTTACTGGTTAACCAGTATTGCAAATCCTAATAAAAAGTTTTTAATATCAAAGTATAAAGTGCACACTGTCAAAATCATGCAGCAGTATTTTTACTTTAAAAAACTAGTAAAAAAATGTTTAATATGACTCATGTGTAGAAATTAACAAGCAAAATGTTTTTGAGCATAAAAATCACAAAAAATAATTTTTTTTTTAATGATTTTTTTTTCAAATGATCTAGGATGCATATATTTAATTATTAGGATGTAAAAAAGAGGTTCTTATTTAAATTTAGTTTATATAAAATAAACAATTTGCCTAATACAAATAAATATTTTTAAGAATTGCTTATTTTACAAACATTCGATTAAGCTTAACTTTCTTTAAAATGTAAGTTAAGCTCCCTGAGGCAACAAAGCTGTCAGTTGTACACAAAACTCATAATTAACTTAATTAGGAATTCAAACAATACTCTAAAATAATCTAAAACTTGAGAATTCAAACCATACCTTAAAATTAACTAAAACTTAAGAATTCAAACCATATTCTAAAATTATCTAAAACTTGAGAATTCAAACAATATTATGAAATTAACTTTTTATTCTTTATAATTTCTTAAATATTTATTTAAAATTTTTTAAAGATTTGTTTTAAATAACTGGTATTATAATTATTTTTTAAAGATTGAGAAGTGTTTTAAATATTTAATAATTTTGTTTTATTTTAGAAATCCAAACCATTGAACATTCCTAAGTTGAAATCATGTGGAGGTAAACTATTTTTATGACTTGTCAAAGTTTAAATTAATATTTAAAGTTGAATTGCTATTTTTCTTAATGTTTATGAAAAGTATACTTATAGTTTTAATCATTATTTATATTAATTTTAAGTACTTATTTTAGTTTAAAGAAGTTGTAAAATATGTGAAATTTTATAAATTCTGTCTCAAAATCATGCAGATCTTCAAATTGTACGTTTAATTTTTAGTTGAGAAAAAAGTGATTAAAACTGACTTCTTATTGATTTTTATGACGGATATTATCTGGAAAATAGTTATATAGAAAATAGTTAAAAAAAAAAAAAACTTTTTACAAGAAAGGTAACCTAATTTTAGGAAACCTAAATCTTTTTTTTTTTTTTTCCAATTTATGAAATAAGGTGAAATTTTTAAAGATGTAAATAAAAGTAAATAGTTCAACTAAAAAAACAAATAGTTCTTCCATATTTGGAAAGTTAATAAAACTAATATTAGAGATAAAATGTTAAACTTAACATCTTATCTGTTAAAGGTTTTTCAAAGAACTTCCGAGATTAATAGTGAGATTTAGTAAATTGAGAATAATGGACCTTGGCATCTGACAGGACTTTTTTGCATCAATTTCTTGCAAGCGTTGTAGTTCTAAATGGTTGGCAGATGTCTTGAGCATAGAATATAGAATAATAAAAGTTGTTGCAAGCTGCTTGCATTTTATATGGTAAATCAACTAGGGTTTCAAGATTGGTACATTATATTAATGCAACAGTATCAGCAACCCTACCTGACTGATATGTAACCTTTTGGGGAGCCAGGCAAGTGGTTTTGTAGAGATTGAGTGGGGGCTGACTAACTACAACAAGGTGGATTGAATTTCCAAAGCTTTATTAAACAACTTTTAACAAATATTTTTAATTCTTATAATTTAAATATTTATAGACTAATATTTGTCTCTCACATAATATTTTTGGATGAATTCATGGATTTACTTGAAACAATAGTATCAACAGGTTGAAAATATGTTATAGTGGGTGATATAAATATACACTTAGATACTAAAGAATTATTTAGCAAAGCTTCAAAGAAAGATTAGATGTATTAAATCTAACACAACAAGTCAAAAAACCAACTCATAAAATGAGACACATACTAGATGTAGTAATTAACAAGCCAGACGAAGTATCAGTAGTTATGCTCGCTGTAACAAACTTAGATTTGAGTGAGCATTTTGTCATAGATTTTAAAGTAGAACAAAAAAATAGAAAAAAAATTATACTAAACTATCACATATAAGAATTTAAAAACAGTGGACATACAGTCTTTTAACTATGAAATATCGATAAATAAACCAGAAATAACATCAACTGAAAATATGAAAGATTAATAACCATATATAACCAAATAATGAAGGAAATTGTGCAGAAACATTTGAAAAAAAAGAATAAAAATAGTCAAAACAGATCCTTGGTTTGACGGAGAATATATGCAACTTAGGCAAAAACGAAGAAAAGCAGAAAAATTGTTTAAGAGAACAAAAAATGAAAGTGACAAAAAAGAATATAGATACCTCAGGAAAAAAACAACAATTGCTTATATAAAAAAAAGAACATATTTCTCTAACCTATTAAATAAAAACACAACAAGTAAAAGTCTATTCTCATTAGTAAACAAGCTACTAGATAAAACATAAAAATTTGTAATACCAGCAGCCAATTCAGACAAAGAACTAGCTAACAACTTAAATAATTATTTTACTGAAAAAATCAGAAAATTCAGCTCTGGATTTTAAATATCCCAAACAAAGAAAAACACATCAGATTATAATGGTCAGTTTTTAAGAAATTTTGATCCAACAACATATGAAGAAACTTACAAAATCACCATGTCATATGGAGTAAAATGTTATCCTGATGATGCGATTCCAGCATATCTACTATGGAATAATTTACAAACATTTATACATTTGTGGGTTGAAATAGTATCTTTAATATATCAAAATAGTATCGTATATATATAAATATATCGAAATAGTATTGTTAAAGAAATAGTATTGTGAAAATGTATCGTTAGAATCAATCAGCATGGATTATCTAAAAAGTGCTACATTACTTTCAATAATAAAGAAGTTAGACTCTGCCACAGGTACTGAAGACTTCAAAAATAATAGACCAGTTTCTAATTCATTTTAATTTAGTATTCATTAGCAAACTTATAGAAAAAGCAGTTTCTAATTGTCTTGATTCCCACATGACAACAAACAATCTTCATATAGAACATGGATACAAAAAACATCAATCAATCAAAACACTTTTACTTAAGCTTACCAATGATATATTTGAACTTGTATATATATAACTTTGATAAACATATACCTTTAGTACTAATATTACGTGATCTAAGTGCTGCCTTCGACCAATAAAAACTACTTGGACTATTAACCAGTGAAATAGGCATAATTGATTCAGCTCACAAGTAGTTCGAATCATTTTTAGTTAACCATACACAAAAAGTTAAAATTGGTAACTCAAATTCCATGAGCCAAAATGTAAAATATGGAACACCACAAGGTATAATTCTGGGTCCAAAAATCTTTAATATCTATATGAGACCACTATACAAATATCTGAACATTATCATTGTTAAAACTTTCGGATATTCAGATGATCATCAAACTCTAAAAGCATTCCTTCATTTATCTCAATATGCACTAGTTCTAGATATACCAAAATGTCTTAAGTACATATCTAAGTGGATGAGTAAATCATTCTTATGTATTAACCAATCAAAAACAAAAATATTAATTATGGCACCACCTAGCATTCAAAAAAATATTGTTATTAAGGGTACTTTTATTAACAAGGAATGCATTAGATTTGTGGACTCAGCAAAAAGTTTAGGGGTAATACTTGACCATGAATTATCCTTAAAAATACAAATAACATAAGATTAAAACTGCTGTTAAAAACTGCTGCAATATATTGAGCATCTCAAAAAACAATTCTTATTACACAAAGATTTGTACACCATGTTCATGTTGTTCACTAATATTTGCACAGCTAGATTATTGTAACTCCCTCTACTTTGGAATTAAAAAGTCACTATTAAAAAAACTGTAGTCTGTTCAAAATTGTGCAGCAAGACTGATATTTACTACTAGAATAGAAAATCATGTAAACGACCAGGAATTTTAACAAACTGCATTGGCTATAAATTAGATAAAGAATTTATATTGCAAGGTCCTTTCAATAATGCACAAATCTATTATTCTGGAAGGACCAAGGTCATTATGCAATTTAGTTCACTACTCAATGTCAGAAAGAACACTAAAATTAAAGGATACAAAATGCAGCAATAGTTTTATTAATCGACCATTATTCAGTGGGAAAAGTTTGAAAATGGTTGAAAAGTTTAAGACGATATTTGGAATATACTTCCAAATATGGTCCTAAACTTTGGAATATACTTCCAAATATCATCTGTGTCAAAAAAAACACAACTATTTATAAGAAAAACTAAATTCTTATTTAATGGTGAATAGTGAACTATTCCACCAGAAAACTCTTAAATGTTAAATTAAAATCTCTTGAACATTAATATTAAAAGTTTTACTAATATAATAAATGTTTGCACAGCTGAGCAAGTGTTTCGCCAACTTTATTTTCTGGCAAAACACAGTAGCTGTTGGTAAACATATTTATTTATTTTATTATTTATTTAGATTTTACTGGTGGAAAAAAACAAAGTTTCAAAGTAAGATCTTTATAAATGTTCAGTTTATTTTAGTATAATTATAAAATGTTCAGTTTATTTTAGTAATGAATATAATGTACTTGATTTGCAAAATAATGTACAACAATTTTTTTCAGAGTTTAACAAGAAAATAATTTCAAGAGAATTTTGACAACTTTCTGTTTTTATATTTATCTAATTAAATTATGTAATTGAATGTCTAAATATAGATTTCTTAAATTGTCAAAAAAAACATTTAAATAATAAATAATGTTTAAACGTTTAAATAAGGGGTTCTTAAATTGTGACTTTTTATCACATTGTAAAATTAAATAATATTGTTATTATTTAATTTTACAATTATTAATAAGGCTAACACAAGATACAAATAATTTGCTTAAGTTATGAATTAAAAGTAATTATTTAAAAAATAAAAGGTTTTTGTGCTCAAGCAAAACTTTTTTCATATAGAGCTAGCATATAAGTATAATTCTTTCATTACTATTTTAAGAATAGCTAGTGATAAAAAAATGATTAAAAGTATTATAAAAACATCATATATACTAATTATAGAATAGTTTTAAAGTTTTTTAATATTTTAATATATACACATGAGGTTCAGTTCTAAACAAAAACTAAATAATTTACATAAAGTAAGAATAGCTATATAATGTAATAAATTATACAACTTAAAGTGCTTTTTTAATCTTTTAAATTTATATATTTAGATTTCTCCAATAGAATCATTCCTACCATTTCCAGATGAAGTTATATTGTGTATTATGTCATATTTAAGCTTATCAGATATTCTGAACATGTCATGTGTGTGTAAACAGCTTTATAGAATAGGAATGGATGATTCTCTATGTAAGTTTGAGTGTCTATTTTTTAAAAATAAATTATATATTATGAATTTTTTTTTAATATAATAATAATTTTTTTCTGCTTCAATCTCAATATGCTTGAAACAGCAGTATTGTTTTGTTTAATTAAAGCAGTTGTCGGCACCATATTTTCAAAGAAGCCCACTTGCAAAATTCTTGTTTTAGTTGCGGCCCACAGCAATAAATAAATTATATACAAAATATACTATATTAACTATATAATATAATATAGTATAGAATTATATTAAAGAACTAATAATTGTATTATTACTATGATAATTGTATCATTACAAAATACATACTTAAGAAAAAAAACACATAAAACACAAATAAAAATTTGGTGAGTATTTTGTTGTTGCGGCTAGCACAAGGTCATTCAAATGAGTGTCAGTCAGTCTTGTTCTGTAAATATTTTTTATAATTTTCATGGCTGAGAATGTTTGTTCGCATTGGTAACTAGTGCCATACATACAGATAAGTCTATTTGCATGTTTTTTAAGAACTGGAAAATTTTCCTTCATGACATCATGCCAGAAAAGAATTAAATTTTCACCAAAAGTGCCATCTTCATCTTTTTTTGGTGCCTTTCTTCTCAACTCGTCGTCATTGAAAATTAATTAGTTCATGCTCTGCTTTTAAAATATTAACTTCTTCAAAGTCCTTCAGAATACCAATATCATTCATATCAAAGTCAAATGGATAACACAAAAATACCATATGCTTTTTTAAGACTTCAAATTCATTAAATCTGTTATCAAATTGATCATACCGAGCAGTCACTATTAATGAGAATGAAGATAACATATCCCTTGATGGTTGACATTTAGTTAAAGTAGAAAAATGAGTACAATTACCAGATGCAAAATGAGTTTTGTACAAATTAAGTTTTGTCTTCATCACAGTTATGTGGTTGATCAAATCACAAACCAGCATATAGCGGCCCTGTAATCTCTTATTCAGAACATTGAATTGTGCTTTGATGTCGCGAAGGAAAGCCAGTTACACTTAAATTCTTCAATAGACATGAATTAATATTTTTGAGTTACCATGAACTGCAGTACACTTGGCAAACAATCCCAAAATCTGTCAAAAATCTTTCTTCTTGATAGCCACCTGACCTGCAAAAAATAGACAAACATTTATTTATGCTTGTAATAGTAAATTATTTATTTTTTGTCAACATACCTCTGAATGAAGAAGAAGATCACCATGTTCATCTTCATTTTGTTCCATTAGCGCACGAAATTGACGCCGTTTGAGTGTATTGGAAGGTATAAAATTGATTGTTTTTACTACAGCTGTCATTACATCATCAATTGTTGCAATTTAGTGCATAGTGCTTCATGATGTATAACACAGTGATATGACATAAATTTGTTAGGAAACTCATAACTATTTCTCAGCAAAGTAATAACTCCTCGAATTCTTCTAATCATAGCAGGAGCGCCATCTGTGACAACTGAAGATATAGAGGCACTTTCCTATCTTTTAATATTTTTTATAAAGAGGCACTTTCCTATCTTTTAATATTTTTAACAATTTGTCATAAATGACTTGTCCAGTTGTAGTTGTAGCCAGTGGTTCAATTCCAATCAGTTCTTCAAATAAACTATAATTCAGAGTGATAACTCTGGTAACTATATCTGATAACTCTGATAACTATAATTCTATAAGTGATAACTCTGATAACTATAAATGATAACTCTGATAACTATAATTCAGAGTGATAACTATAAACAATAATTCAGAGTGATAAAACGTGCATAAACCCAGAGTTGTGCTTTACCAATAAGGTCAGTAGACTCATCGAGAGCGATACTCACGAGTTCAGCTTCTTACAGATTGTTTGACATTTGTTCATAAACATCAACAACCATTTTCTCAACTTTTCGAGTAACTGTATGAGCGTACAAGTGCATACTTTGAAATTTGTCATGAATCTTTTTATCATTTGGGAAAGGAACTTTTGATGCTTCAATCATGCATTCTTTGATTATTTCACAAATTTTTCTTTTTTTCTAAACAGCTTTTCAATGAGTCGTATTTTGTTGAACAAATTCGAATGTTATAATTATTTTCGACGCGCTTTTTGAATGTTTTTATTTTTGTAGAATCATTTGCATTTAAGTATTAGAATCTTATTTGAACTGATAAAGCGCTACAGTGTTTTAGGACATTAAAAAATATTTTTTTGATATGACTAAAATGACAAGATCTGATGAGTATTTTAAAAGGAAGTTTTAGAATTTTTACAGCCCGGAAAATAACTAAAAGGTCCACAACTACACTACTTTGTATTATATGCGGTTGGGTGGCTTGGTACCCACAAATAATGTAGCAAAGGCACACAATTGAGCCGCGGCCCACAATTTGCTGACCTCTGAATTAAAGTATCTGTTCCCCACCTTTTCTACCCTCAACTACAGAGTGTGAATAGAATAGATTTTAAATGCACACCTTTATTTTACTTACTTTTTTTTTTTAATATTATTGCGCTCAGGCATAAAATTGTAAGAAAATATATTACTTATGAAATTATTATTTTATAAACATCAAAAAATACAAATTTCTCTCAATACTAAAATTATTTTTTTAAATAAATTTTTGCTGGATTGTTGTGACCAATGTCTTCAGTTTTTTGTTTGTTTTTGTTTATAACTTATTTTTAAAATGGCAGAACTCTAAAAAATAATGCTAAAAGGTTTGATAGGAAAGTTTGTGAGGCACTTGAAATACAGTACCATCAATGTGCCCCTCAACAAAATGGTATCAATTTAAATGAGGGGCAATATGTGTCAACAAAATTTTGGACGCTGTTTCAGGCACACTTACGCCAGAAAAAGATAAAACCAATCCCATTGACATAAAATAGAACTGCTGTTTAAAAAAAAAAGTATAAACAAAAACAAACATAAAACTTTTAAGCTGAAGACGTTGGTCACAACAATTTAACAAAAATTTCTTTTAAAAAATGTTAGTAACGAGAAAAATTCATATTTATTGATGTTTATAAAATAATAATTTACAAACTCTCATACATGATGTCTATATTCAAATATATATATATATATATATATATATATATATATATATATATATATATATATATATATATATATATATATATATATATATATATATATATATATATATATATATATATATATATATATATATATATATACACACTATATATATATATATATATATATATATATATATATATATATATATATATATATATATATATATATATATATATATATATATGTATATATTTATGTATATATTTATGTATGTATGTATGTATGTATGTGTGTATGTATGTATGTATGTATGTATAAGTGAAAGCTTTGCTGAAATAATACGTAAAAAAAATTTTTGTCAAAAAGTTTACTTTTAAGACAAGATTGGTTAAAAGAAATCTATAAATATTTGAAAATTTTTTAGGGAAAGTGATTAGAATAAAGCGCCATTGCTACATGACAGATCTTACTCTTTCAAAAATAGCTAAGCGGCATCCAGAAGTACTTTCCATCACACAATGTAATGGTAAAAGGTTGACAGAAGATGGACTAAAACATTTGTTTTTAGTTGTATCTGATTCTTTAAAGGTTTGTTTGTTTTTCTCATCTAATCAGTTTGATAT